GCAGTCTTGTGCAGTGGGCTGTTCCTAACGTCATCACGTCCGTAGACCTTGTGTGGACAGCAGGAACAGACCACTACTGGATGTGGGGGAACACCATTTTCTGGAGCAGTGAAGGATCAGGTAAGGTATAGGCTCTGTGCAAGCAGTCGTCCCCACTGCTTGGGGAAAAAAAAATTTCCTGGGGTTGGGCTTGAAGTTTGGGAGTAGTACCCGAAGCGGTTTTTTTTTTTAAGAGAAAAAAAAAAGGTGAAAAATGAAACAATTATTGCCATTAGATTTTTTTTTAATAGTTACTATAGCTGAGAATGTGAAGTGTCCCGTAAATTTCAGTTTTATTGAAATTTTTATTATATTGTAATGTTATAAATGGCGATTGTAAACATCGGTCTGTCTTGAATTTGTTTTCTAGGTTGCTGTAACCCCCCAAAAATGCATGAAAAAGAACATATCCAATAACATTCTTCCATTTCAACTCTTTGCAGGATTAAAGCGGCCATACGATGACGGTTCTTGCGACGACAAGGACCCAAACAAGAAAATGAGACGCAATTTGCGCAAAAGTAAGTTATCAATTCCCGCTTGTCATTGGATGTTTATTTTTGTTAATTTAGGTAACAAATGTTCAGTAAAAGGAATCTAAAAAAATATTGTTCAGTCTAAGAAAGCAATAATTAAAGTCAGGCATAGACAGTGTGATTTCAGTCAGTGGGGCGCAACTTTGCATTGAAGTCAGTGGAACGCGATTTTGCGTTGAGGTCAGTGGGACGCGATTTGGCTTTGAAGTCAGTGGGACGTGATTTGGCGTTGAAGTCAGTGGGACGCGATTTGGCTTTGAAGTCAGTGGGACGCGATTTGGCGTTGAAGTCAGTGGGACGCGATTTGGCTTTGAAGTCAGTGGGACGCGATTTGGCGTTGAAGTCAACTATCATTATTGGCATCTATTTTTTTTTTCTATCAGCAAAACGCTGATAACCCTCTTTTCGGTTGATCATTTTCGGCGGCCGTTGTATCAGTGCATCACTATTTTTTATTCCTCATTGTACAACATGAGCCTGAAAACTACACACACGGAAGAAAAATATATTTTAAATAGATCTTAAAAATATTTTCCCAAATATATTGACATATATTTGAAATACGACAATTTTGGCCATTAAATATATATATTGCGCGTTGAAATGCATTTTTCATAACAATATATGAAAAATATTTTTAAAACTACATTTTCAAATATACTGTATGTCTTTAAAAATACGTGTAATCCAAAATTTGTAATCCAAATGTAAAAATATATGTTAAAATTACTTTTTTATATGTTAAAAAAAACTGGAGAATATATTAAAAAAATATATATATATTTTAAAATATTTTTCATATACTTTGTAATGCATAAATAACGTATTTCAACATGTAGTGTGTATGTATGTATGTATGTATGTATGTGTGTGTGTGTGTGTGTGTGTGTGTGTGTGTGTGTGTGTGTGTATATATAGTCAGGTCCGTAAATATTCGACACCATTCTAACATTTTTGGCTCTATACACCACCACAATGGATTTGAAATGAATTGAACAAGATGTGCTTTAACTGCAGACTGTCAGCTTTAATTTGATGGTATTTACATCCAAATCAGGTGAACGGTGTAGGAATTACAACAGTTTGCATACGTGCCTCCCACTTGTTAAGGGACCAAAAATAATGGGACAATTGGCTTCTCAGCTGTTCCATGGCCAGGTGTGTTTTATTCCCTCATTATCTCAATTACAATGAGCAGATAAAAGGTCCAGAGTTCATTTCAAGTGTGCTATTTGCATTTGGAATCTGTTGCTGTCAACTCTCAAGATGAGATCCAAAGAGCTGTCACTATCAGTGAAGCCATCATTAGGCTGAAAAAAACAAAACAAACCCATCAGAGAGATATCAAAAACATTAGGCGTGGCCAAAACAACTGTTTGGAACATTCTTAAAAAGAAGGAACGCACCAGTGAGCTCAGCAACACCAAAAGACCCGGAAGACCACGGAAAACAACTGTGGTGGATGACCGAAGAATTCTTTCCCTGGTGAAGAAAACACCCTTCACAACAGTTGGCCAGATCAAGAACACTCTCCAGGAGGTAGGTGTATGTGTGTCAAAGTCACCACCAATCAAGAGAAGACTTCACCAGAGTGAATACAGAGGGTTCACCACAAGATGTAAACCATTGGTGAGCCTCAAACACAGGAAGGCCAGATTAGAGTTTGCCAAACGACATGTAAAAAAGCCTTCACAGTTCTGGAACAACATCCTATGGACAGATGAGACCGAGATCAACTTGTACCAGAGTGATGGGAAGAGAAGAGTATGGAGAAGGAACTGCTCATGATCCTAAGCATACCACCTCATCAGTGAAGCATGGTGGTGGTAGTGTCATGGCGTGGGCATGTATGGCTGCCAATGGAACTGCTTCTCTTGTATTTATTGATGATGTGACTGCTGACAAAAGCAGCAGGATGAATTCTGAAGTGTTTCAGGAATATTATCTGCTCATATTCAGCCAAATGCTTCACAACTCATTGGACACCGCTTCACAGTGCAGATGGACAATGACCCAAAGCAGACTGCAAAAGCAACCAAAGAGTTTCTGAAGGGAAAGAAGTGGAATGTTATGCAATGGCCAAGTCAATCACCTGACCTGAATCCGATTGAGCATTTCACTTGCTGAAGACAAAACTGAAGGGAAAATGCCCCAAGAACAAGCAGGAACTGAAGACAGTTGCAGTAGAGGCCTGGCAGAGCATCACCAGGGATGAAACCCAACGTCTGGTGATGTCTATGCGTTCCAGACTTCAGGCTGTCATTGACTGCAAAGGATTTGCAACCAAGTATTAAAAAGTGAAAGTTTGATTTATGATTATTATTCTGTCCCATTACTTTCGGTCCCTTAACAAGTGGGAGGCACATATGCAAACTGTTGTAATTCCTACACCGTTCACCTGATTTGGATGTAAATACCCTCAAATTAAAGCTGACAGTCTGCAGATAAAGCACATTTTGTTCGTTTCATTTCAAACCCATTGTGGTGGTGTATAGAGCCAAAAATGTTAGAATTGTGTCGATGTCCCAATATTTATGGACCTGACTGTGTATGTATGTATGTATGTATGTATGTATATATATATATATATATATATATATATATATATATATATATACACACACACACACCGCATGTTGAAATACGTTTTTTTAAATATTGCAAAGTATATGAAAAATATATTTGAAAAATATTTTTCTGAAATATATTGACATATATTTGAAATACTACAATTTTGGTCCGTATTCAATATATTAAAAAGAAAAATTATTTATATATATATATATATATATATATTGAATACGAGCCAAAATTGTAGTATTTCAAATATATGTCAATATATTTGGGAAGAATATTTTTAAAATATATTATTCATATACTTTGTAATATTTAAAAAAAAAACGTATTTCACCATGCTGTGTGTATGTATGTATGTATGTGTGTGTGTATATATATATATATATATATATATATATATATATGTGTGTGGGTGGGTGGGTGTATATTTTTATTTTTTTTAATATATTGAATACGGCCCAAAATTGTAGTATTTCAAATATATGTCAATATATTTGAGAATAATTTTTTGAAATGATATTTTTCTTCCATGTGGGTAGGGCCAAGATCAATGCAATAAGGGCATAATAAAAGTAAAAATATAATAAATTATTGATAATATTGGTAGTAGAATTGAGCATCATAGTGAAGTAATAATGACACTCATAATAATAGGAATAATAATGACAATAAAATAATTTGTTGATCATATTCTGAGTACTCTCTTTATTTCACTCTAAGCCCCATAGCAGTCTTTATTATGCCCTTACTGGTATTTTAATGAGTTTCTACCGGTGTTTCTATCTCGTTGCACGGATAAATTCCAAGCTGAGCGATTGAACGAACCTTCGCTGTGCAGAGCTCAGGCTGGCATTCAGATCAGGGAAAGGAGAGAAAGGAAGGACAAAGAAAAAAAACCCACAGGATTTCACAGTGGAAACATTTCTTCAAAATCACATGACGATCTCTCTTCTCTCTAAAACAAAATGCGATAACTGACTGCAGTATAATAACCGCATTTAGTTGCGTATGCATTCGGTGTATTCCCTGTAAGATTTTCTCTGCCTTTCTCACACCTAAGGTCCCCTTTAAACTGATGCGGTGCGGGGTGACTGCAACAGCATTGGCGCGGGTTTGGTGCCCTTTAGCCTAGAGTTCTATTATTTCCTGCGGTTTTGGTGCACTTTCTGAAAGCGCAACCAAAATTGCAGGACCTTTTAGAACTGTATGGGAAAGCGCATGCTAACCCGCACCAAAACCGCGGGTACGCCTGCTCTGCAGTCAGACCACACCGTGTTGGTGTGAAAGGGGCCATATACAGTCAAATACAGTTACACCATTTTGAAAATCCCCTTCAAAAGCTGACTGTATGGGCCAAGTCCTAAGTATCAATGCAGAATTGGGGTGGAAGTATCGGAAATATGTGTAATTGTTTAGAGATCGATCCATGAGAAATCCACTATGTGGCCAAAAGACTGTGGGCACCTGACCATCACATGATCTATATGGGCTTGTTGTTCATCCCCACTCCAAAACATTGTTAAGAGGAGTCAGCGCAAAAAATAGACCATTGGTAGTTTGATTGGCAGAGGTGCCCAAAGTGGTTATTTAACCACTAGCCTACCGGGCACTTATACCCCTTTCTTTACCAGGCCAATTTTCAGCTTTCAGCGCTGTCATACTTTCATTGACAATTGCGTGGTCATGCAAGATTGTACCCATATGAAATTTTTATCATTTCTTTGTCACAAATAGAGCTTTCTTTTGGTGGTATGTAATTGCCGCTGGGCACTTTACTGATGGGCACTGATAGGCAGCACTAATGAGGTGGCACGGATAGGCGGCACTGATAGGCAGCACTATGAGGTGTCACGGATAGGCGGCACTGTCCGTAGGACACAGCGATCACGGAGATCGCTGGCGCGCGCCCCCGGGGGCGCGCATGAGAGCACGTTCTGGGAGGACGTCACATGACGCCCTCCCAGAACTGGCCCGCCGCAGTGTAGCTGTCATTCGGCTATCTGCGGTTGGCAAGTGGTTAAAGGATAGGCATGAGTCGTCTAGTGGCCCACCTTTGTGGCTATAACATCCACCACTCTTGTGGGAAGGCTTTCCACAAGATTTTGGAGGGTGTCTTTGGGAATTTGTGCCCATATAGAGGTCAAATACTGATATTGGATGAGAAGACCTGGCTCAAAATTGGTGTTCCAGTTCATCACAAAGGTGTTCAGTAGAGTTGAGTTCAGGGCTGTGCACAGGACACTCGAGTTCCTCCACACATCACACCTTAATGAGCTTGTTGGACATCCCATTCCAAAGCCATGCCCTTTAATATGGAGTTGCCCCACCTTTGTGGCTATAACATCCACCACTTTTCTGGGAAGGTTTTCTACAAGATTTTGGAGGGTGTTTTGGGGAATTTGTGCGCA